AACCCCTTCCCCCCGTCCTCTCCTATGCCCTTGAGCTCGCCACCGTCGAGTAGCCACCTTGAGTTCCCTCTTCGCCACCACTCCCTCGACTTCAGTCTTCGCCCGCCCTCTCTGCCGCTCGTTCGAGTTTCCACTTAGCATCGATCGGTCCCTCAACCACGTCACCTCGCACTTTCCTCGACCGCTCGAGCTCGTCGCCGCTCCATCTCACCGCCAAATCTCAGCCCGCGATCGTCGCCGCTCCAGTTCGCAGTCAGATCTCAGCCCTCGAGCTAAGCCCTCGAGCCCGCCGCTCCACTTCGCGGTCAGATCTCAGTCGTCTAGCTCAGTTTGCTCTTTTATTTTGTTAGCATGAATGGTTCCATGGAATCACTAATTATAAGCATTGTGATTTGAGTACTTGTTATTAGTTAAATAACCAAACAATATTTAAATCATGATTAGTTTTTTTTCCTAATCAATTTACACAAGTCTTGGGAGGGAGTCAGAAAATTTAGAAGAGGAGATAGTGATTGGGCCTCTGGAAATTGTAGAAAATTAAAAAAAAAAGTTTCCATGTCAAAGACAATTCTGGTTATGGAAAGTTCAATTTTTATCCACTTTTCTTACTCTTGCTTGAAAAAATGCCTGTAGTGTAGGAATTCATAAACATTGCTGATCATAATTTTGAATCAATTGAATAAAATTCTTCTGCGATTTCTATTGGCTTCTGTAAACTTAGCATGGTTTGTTTATTAAGCAAATAGGGTTCTTGTATCAGAAATGAAACTCATCATCCTCTTGTAACAAACTTTAATTTTTGCAGTTTGTCATAACCATTAAGTAAATTAAAGGCAATTAGAAAACCTCTCAATCCTTTAGTGAAGTTACAATTATATTAGGAATTTAGTCTTTAATCTTATAGAACCTGCTGTATCTTCTTTCTTCAGGGAGATGGCCTGCAATATGATCTTCCAAATAACAAGAAAACAAATATTTGTACTATATTGTACACCAGTGGAACAACCAGTGATCCTAAGGGTGTGTTGATTTCTAATGATAGTATCATCACTCTCATTGCTGGGGTGAACCGGGTTCTTGGCTGCGTAAATGAACATGTGAGATCAATTTATTACTTACTATCCATTATAGTTTGTATGACTTTGTAATGACATCTAGTTATAATATATGTTATATCCTCCTGTTGACAGTAGCGTTTTTTTCCCCACTGGTCTAAAATTTTTTAAGTTCTTATAATAACTGCAGTTGAATGCCAAGGATGTTTATATATCGCATCTCTCGTTGGCACATATATTTGATCGTGTGATTGAGGAATGTTTTATTTTCCATGGTGCTTCTATTGGATTTTGGAGTGGGGTAAGCAATTCAGGTAGTGTGATGTTGTACCCATATAGATATCATTGTAATAAAAAAGAGGACCGTATGTGTTTAATGCATTTCTATTGTAACAGTTAATTTTTTTCTCAAAGTCATTTTCAATATCGTAATTATTATTATTTTTTGCTAAATGCAGAACCTTAGACTGCGGGATCTTTATGATTGAATTCATTAATAGTATTGTCGAAAAGCGATCGATAGCAACCTCACAAGCAGAGTGTGCAAAGTACAGAGCAAAGTTTTGTGCAGCTCTCTTTTATGCACGTGACTCACCATATTTGTGACAGATTGTAATTCACGTGTTTTTGGTATTGGTGGAGGTGGGTTCAGAGGTTGTGATGGTGTTGCATTTGTTGCGAGTATTGTGGTAATTGGTAGTGTTGTGATTGTGGTTGTGGTAGTGTTGTGACATTTATTGTTTATGTAAGGTGGTTCATCCCAATTGCATGTAGCCTGTAGGTGATATTATTATGTGTAAAATAAAAAATGGATTGGCTGAACAGTAATTTAATGTAACAACCAAGAATTGATCATTTATTATTTATGCTGGATTTTATTATTGCTTATATCTGCTTCGCACAGTTCTCACAGCAAGAACTGATCATTTATGCAATTTGTTTTGGGAAATTGTAACAAGATACTCCAATTGGTAAAGTTTTATAACTCATTATTCTGAAAAAAAAAATTGTACCCTCTTATGCACGTTTTGTACCTCTTTAGCTTAATTTTATACCCACTTACTCAAGTTTTGTAACTCGTTGTTTTGAAAAAAATGTGTACCCACTTATTTAGGTTTTGTACCCACTTATTCAAGTTTTGTACTCACTTATTCAAGTTTTATACCTTATTATTTTGGAAAAAAGTTGTGTACACTCTTATTCACGTTTTGTACCTCTTTAGCTCAATTTTATACCCACTTACTCAAGTTTTGTAACTTGTTATTTTTGAAAAAAATGTGTACTCACTTATTCAAGTTTTGTACACATTTATTTAAGTTTCATACTTCACTGTTCTAGAAATAAGTTTTGTACTCTCTTATTCACGTTTTGTACATCTTTAGCTCAATTTTATACCCACTTAAGTTTTGTAATTCATTGTTCTGAAAAAAAAATGTGTGCCCACTTATTCAAGTTTTGTGCACACTTATTCAAGTTTTATACCTCTTTGTTTTGAAAAAGTTTTGTACCCTCGTATTCACGTTTTGTACCTCTTTAGCTTAATTTTATATCCACTTACTCAAGTTTTGTAACTCGTTATGAAAAAATATGTACACACTTATTCAGGTTTTGTACCCCTTTATTTAAGTTTTGTACCCACTTATTCAAGTTTTATACCTCATTGTTCTGGGAAAAAGTTTTGTACCCTCTTATTCACGTTTTGTACCTCTTTAGCTCAATTTTATACCCACTTACTCAAGTTTTGTAACTCGTTGTTTTGAAAAAAATGTGTACCCACTTATTTAGGTTTTGTACCCACTTATTCAAGTTTTGTACTCACTTATTCAAGTTTTATACCTTATTATTTTGGAAAAAAGTTGTGTACACTCTTATTCACGTTTTGTACCTCTTTAGCTCAATTTTATACCCACTTACTCAAGTTTTGTAACTTGTTATTTTTGAAAAAAATGTGTACTCACTTATTCAAGTTTTGTACACATTTATTTAAGTTTCATACTTCACTGTTCTAGAAATAAGTTTTGTACTCTCTTATTCACGTTTTGTACATCTTTAGCTCAATTTTATACCCACTTAAGTTTTGTAATTCATTGTTCTGAAAAAAAAATGTGTGCCCACTTATTCAAGTTTTGTGCACACTTATTCAAGTTTTATACCTCTTTGTTTTGAAAAAGTTTTGTACCCTCGTATTCACGTTTTGTACCTCTTTAGCTTAATTTTATATCCACTTACTCAAGTTTTGTAACTCGTTATGAAAAAATATGTACACACTTATTCAGGTTTTGTACCCCTTTATTTAAGTTTTGTACCCACTTATTCAAGTTTTATACCTCATTGTTCTGGGAAAAAGTTTTGTACCCTCTTATTCACGTTTTGTACCTCTTTAGCTCAATTTTATACCCACTTACTCAAGTTTTGTAACTCGTTGTTTTGAAAAAAATGTGTACCCACTTATTTAGGTTTTGTACCCACTTATTCAAGTTTTGTACTCACTTATTCAAGTTTTATACATCATTGTTTTGGAAAAAAAGTTTTGTACACTCTTATTCTCGTTTTGTACCTCTTTAGTTCAATTTTATACCCACTTACTAAAGTTTTGTAACTTGTTATTTTTGAAAAAAAATATGTACCCACATATTCAAGTTTTGTACCCATTTATTTAAGTTTCATACCTCACTATTCTAGAAATAAGTTTTGTACCCTCTTATTCACGTTTTGTACATCTTTAGCTCAATTTTATACCCACTTAAGTTTTGTAACTCATTGTTCTGAAAAAAATGTGTGCCCACTTATTCAAGTTTTGTGCCTACTTATTCAAGTTTTATACCTCTTTGTTTTGAAAAAAAGTTTTGTACCCTCATATTCACGTTTTGTACATCTTTAGCTTAATTATATCCACTTACTCAAGTTTTGTAACTCGTTGTGAAAAAATATGTACCCACTTATTCAGGTTTTGTACCCACTTATTCAAGTTTTATACCTCATTGCTCTGAAAAAAGTTTTGTACCCTCTTATTCACGTTTTGTACCTCTTTAGCTCAATTTTATACTCACTTACTCAAGTTTTGTAACTCGTTGTTTTGAAATTATGTCTACTCACTTATTCAAGTTTTGTACCCACTTATTCAAGTTTTGTAACTGGGCTAACGAGTTACAAAACTTAAATAACAAGGTACAAAAAATTTTCCAGAACTAGGAGTTACAAAACTTCAATAAGTGGGTACAAAACTGGGCTAATGAGTTATAAAACTTGAATAACGAGTTACAAAAAATTATATGACAGAACTAGGGGTTACAAAACTTTAACAAACGGGTACAAAATTGGGCTAACGAGTTACAAAACTTGAATAACGAGTTACAAAAATATGAAAAGCTTAGAACATTAGTCTTCCATTCTAAAAAATAACTAAAGTTCTTCTCAATTCAGTCATTGTGGAGTTTCTTTAAGAAAGTTAATCTCAAGATTTTACATAGAGCATTTAGATGAGTGTATCAAATAACAACATTCATAATGATCATCCTGTTACTTCCACTGGTCATCAACTTAATACAATTAATACAAAACAGTTAATATTTACACAACAACATCCACATATTCACATAAAACACATTTCCACTTATCCACATAATATCATCCACATATTCGCATACACAACAACTTTGCTGTATATTTACAAATACGGTGAATTGCGTGCATACAAGAGAGCTGCACAAAACTTTGCTCGCACAATCTCCTTGTAAGATTGTTATCGATCGCTTTTCGACAATGT